TTTCAGAGGAAGATGGTTCCATTTACTAATTTTTTTTTCTTTTTTATAATAATTTTTCTCCATTTTCTTGTGAAGAGACCATCTAGCTATGTAGAAGGTAAGTGGTCCCAGTGACTTAAGACAGGTTTTGAGTCAGTAGGACAGTGTGAACAAAATACATGTTCTTCCCTCTAGGTACGATGTCCTACTCTGTACTGTACTTATTACCCCTGTGTAAAACTGTACTACAGGGAATTTCAGTTTTACTTGGTACCAGCCACTGTGTGTAGATTGTTTGCAGAAGAGACACTACATTTTCCATCATTTGTCAACAAAATGCTTTGGTATTTAGAAAAGACAATTGATTTGAGTGCTTAAAAAGCATCAGAACAAGCTGATGAAAGGAAACAGTGGGTGGTGGTTGTTTATGTGAATGCCTAAAGTGATCTAAACTTTTTTTCTGATGAATTTAATGAATTTAAAGATCATGTGTTTGCCTTATGTAACCTGTTTGGGAAAATGGCATTAGTCATTGAGAAGATCCCTCTTCCTCTCGCCTGTGTTAAAACATTGTGAGGTCCTGAGTGTCCACGGGAGCAAGTGAGCAAGCTGATCTTGCACGACACAGCTCTGGCAGCCAACAGGTGACATCAGTCTTGGCAGTGGAATTGGCACCAAGTCTGCATGGTGCAGAGCTGGACAGAACCCAGCTGTCTCCATTCCATCCATCTCCACATAATTTTAAGTTAATTCTGACTTGTTGACCTGCACTCCCTTGGCTCAAGGGTCGGCTTCAGCGATGATGCGTGGTTAGCAGAGGTCTTCGCTTGTTTAGATCGATCCAAAGCTGAACCAAGTCCAAGCCCTTCTAGGAGAAGGGCTCCGCAGAGCTGGAGAGGAGGAGCAGAACCCATTCCTTGGTGAGAGGCTACAGGAAGGAGGTGAACCGCTGCTGCTCTGCAGCCACCCCCAGCTCCCAAGCACGCAGGCAGGTGCGGAGCCTTCGGGGTGGGGAGCAGGTGGAGTGCGTGTGTTGGGTCGGAAGTGAGTGGGGAGGGAGTGTTGCTCTGCAGCATCTCTGGGGACAATGACTCCTGCTGCCCGGGCTGGGGAGGTCGTGCTGCAGTGCTTACTCAGCTGCAGTGTTGCAACAGGAACAATTGCATGTTTCTAGCAGGCCATTACAAGAGCTTGCTCATTCATAATTGCTCTCTTATCTTACTCCTTGGCCACAGCAATCCAAACTATATTGAGCAAAGCACATAAACAGTTTCGCCTGCCTTCATTATAAAGGCAGGAATACCTGCGTAATTTTTAGTGGTTTGTACTGCTGCTCTGACATTAGTAATGCTGATGGACTTTATTTGTTAGTGTTCAGGAAGAGCAATGCTGTAAGCACACAGCTTAATTTTGATCATTAAACATGCTTGCTATTTAGCAGTTACGATATGACAGTGCAAATATGCCTCGTGGTTTTGCTGACTCACAGTGAAATTCTCAATACTTCTTCAAAACAACATTAATTTAGTGGGAAATGAGGGAACTGGGTGCTTCAGTTCACTCCCTCTCCCCACTGTTGTCTTCAAATACAAAGAAAAGCTGCTATCCATTGGTATAGGAGGTTGTTGGAAGCCAGAAGCTGGCTGCTCTCTCTGGGAACGGTTGTTCATGCTGTCCCCCGATACCCGGTTTTGTTGAGGTTACTGGCAGGCTGACCTGGGACGGTGGGTTCCTGCAGCACAGCTCTACCAGCGTGCACAGGGACCCATGCAGCACGTTCAGAGCAGGGCCATTAGCGCTGGTACCTCTGGGAGTCCCTGCCGAGGGGGGGTCGCCGCGGCGGGGCTGACGGCGGGTGTGGCACCAGGCGTGGAGCCGAGTCCGGGCAGCCCCTCCTGCGGGGACAGCTGCTCCGTGACACTGCCCAGGGAATTATCACCTACGTGACCCTGACTGATTTGTGTGGGGCATGCTGGAACAGAACCACGTACAGCTATGTTGTCCTTCAGGTCGCTGTTAAATTAATGAGTGCTCCGAGAGCCTTTCTGGTTTGTACAAATAAATTCCTGAGCTGAAAGCACTATTTGCCAGATTTTGCTGACAAGCTTCATGTCCCTGTAGATGTGTGCTAGAATGTCCCAAGATTTTTTTTTTTCCCCCCCTCTAGACACTAGCAGAACTAGGAGCTAAATCTGCTAGTAGTAGTTTCTCTTGTCCCAAACCCTTCTGAAACAACACGCTGACCTCAGCCTCCTGCAGCATCAGAAAGCCCCGTGCACCTGTTTAAGGTCAAGGTAAAAGGACTGTTGCCATTTAAAACATTTCCTCTCTCCAAATTGAGTGCTCTATTGCAGCTAGTACTATTTGTGACTAGAGGCTATAGATCTGCAGGGGGATTGCTTAATAAGCTTGTTGATGTGTCCCACAACATGGCTATATCCAGGCATAGTCAAAGCCCCTGCTAGGGAGGCATCCACCGTCCCTCCCTCCCTCCTCCATAACCCTTGTTGCAAAGGAACTCTCATGAAGTGCTCTTCAAGGCGTTTACCACCAGTGACTTTATCAAGCCAAGTATGAGAAGGAAGGATACCTCTTAGCCATGAGCTTGCTGATTTTATTGCTGAATGAGATTATTGCTTTAAGTGAAACTGCAAGAAGCAAATGGCACAGAAAGGACTTAGGCTGTGACTTGGCAGCAGCGGACAATGCTAAGGTAGCTTAGTTATCACAGTTATTCCCTTTGCTTTTCCTTCCAGGCAAAGGAAACGTTGATTTGTTCTGGGACTGGGAGAGTTTGTTAGCTAGGAAGGTGAAGGGCTCAAGCAGTGTTTTCCGATCTGTCACAGTCACTTCCCACAGTCTCACTTTCTCAGCCCTTGCCCATTGCTGTGCTGCTTCTGTTTCCACTTCCCTTTGGTCCAAGAGGTCAGTTTTGTTTCCCAGGACAACAACTGTTACCTACAAACAAAACAAAAGGATGAGCTTTACACAAAAAGCGTCCACAGCTCACAATGGTTTTGAACAGCAGACAAGTAGCAACACAGTTCAGACCTGTTCTTTAACTTAGCACTGCCACAAGGTAAGCTCCTGTAGCTTGGAAGATCAGGGTCTGGGATTTGAATTAGCCTCATCTACTTGTGGCACTGGGAGCTGGTTTTAATACTAGGATATGGAGGACTTCCCCTTCTCCCCTTGATTGCTTAAAGGGAAGCAATACCCAAGAGAGCCAAAGTTGAACAGCCCCATTGTCCATTTACGTGCCAACTGAGCTGCCCTAGACAAACGGTACGAGCATGGCATCCGAGCAGGTCAGAGCAGCCAAATGCTCAAGGGGTGGACAAAATGCATGGCAGCAGAGAAAGCCTGGACCCCAGAGCTGTGGATTTTGCCTGGCTTGTTTTTTCCCAAACCCCCAGCTTGAGCTGTTGGGCCCCGCTCCCGCGGGCACGGGAAGCCACTAGAGGGACCTAAGGGGACACTCGTTTGTTGCTGAAGCGGTCAAGTAAGCACCAGCACCATCCTCTCAGAAGCAGTTTCAAGGGCAGCTAGTTAGCTGCCCGGAGCAGCAGAGTGAATCAAGTCCGACCCTTGGCTGTGAGGCTCCACCGAGTGATCTCTACCACCGAGTCGGTATGGCGTGGCTCAGCTCAGGGGCCTGCCGTGGCCTGCCCAGGGCTTCAGTTCTCAGAAGTGATGAAGGTCGTGCTGGCCACTTCAAGCTACTGCTCATGCTTATTTTAAGTTAACCATTTTCTAAAAATGTTTTACCATCATCAGCTCTTAGGGGAAACCATGCCTATATTTATAGTTCAAGGTTCTTAGTCAAGCTCTGGTCTCATCTCTACGCTAGTGGTTAGACAAAGATCCAAGTGATAAGGTCCTTTCTTGCTGATGATTTGGGGTTTTTGCTGTGGCCACACCTGCCTGATCTTTCCTGTTTATCAAGCTAACTTGAAGATGTCTTTTGTTTCTCTCCAGCTAGAGGTGTTTGTCCTGTTCCTGTGAGCTCTGAGGCTTCTTTGCTTTTCTATATCAGCCTAGGGTGTTTGGAAAAATACTTGTTCCCTCTGCGAAGGCTTTGAAAGAAGCTATAATCTTCATATGCATTTACCACCTGCTCCAACTGGATTTTACCTACAGTTAAGCTCTGTCAGAATGAGGGAACACAACCCCTATTTAGTATAAAATTTGGCCAGGTTTTAAGGTACATGCTGGAGAGCCCCCACAGCCAGCAGATGGAAGGAACCAGCCATCAGTGTCGTCTGCCACACAACAGAGGACAGTGCCACTCAACAAGGTCACGTTCTGCCAGCTCAGAAGCACCACGTGTGAAGGTACAGCCCTAATTCGGTTAAGGATGTATTCTAGCAGAACCTAAACTTTAAGTCCAATGACACTATCTTAAGGCAGAATTCTTGATCTCACCTTCAAAGCCCCTTTTATGTAGACCAGAAATCACAGAAATTAATTTATCCAGCTTATTGTAGGCACTGCTCTTTCGACTACATTATCCTCAGTCAAGATTGCAACTTTAAGCTCTCCCAAAGGATGAGTAAATTGGCTTCTTTATGAAATACGTGCATGCAACAGGAAAGAAGAGTTCTGGCAGGTAATGCAGAAGAGAGGGACGTGGATTCTGCTGGGGTCTGTGACTCCCTCTCCACATTAAAACATGCTGCAAAGTAACACATCAGGGCCCTCAAAACACAGTGCCTGGGAAAAATTTCCTGCTTGTCCACCTTTCCTTGCCCTGCAGGGGAGCGCTGACTGACTCCCGTGTCCCTGGCCTACGTGACCGCCCGCAGCTCCCACCAGCTGACACACCTCCCCATCACTGCGCCTTCGGCTGCTGCCAGACCTGGACCCTGCCTTCCTCCACCGCCCCACGTGCAGTCGGGACTAAACGAGTGACATTTTTGGAAATTATGCCACTACCATTATCCAATTAATTCTTCACACACTTTTTTTTTTTTTTCTCCTATCTTTTTAACTGCGTAAAACAGACATTTGGAAAGCTGTAGGCTAAAGACATTTAGCAGGAAAAACAACTCGAGAATATAAAGATATTGTAGGAAAAGCCATAATGCTAATGCCACATGCAAGTTATATTTGTTTAGCTAAGCTGGAACACTGTCAGCTGAAAACACTAGCTGCTTTCTAAGGGAAAATAGAGCAGTCATTTCACACAATTGAATTGATTCAATATGGTTGTTAAAATACATTAAAGCTGCTTTGCCAATTGACTAATGTCTGGGAGACCCAGTGTCAATTACACTAGTTTGTAAGCCATGGAGTACATGAATACAAAACAAAGATAATGCCCCTTGCTGTATTACTCTATGCACTTGACTTCCCATGTATAATACCTAAAAAAAACCCATATGAATTGCACTGCTATAGACCATATGTTTTATTAGTCATAAGTATCCTGGATGGTGCATGCAACTAACTGAATTTTAGCCATAGTACAGGAAGTAAGGAGGAAAACAAACCAATGCATTCTTTCGCATGACCTGCATGGCATGCGAGTCAGGCTTCCCCAGCATGAGGAAGCTTCCTTTTGCTGGATTGCCCAAGGCTGTGGGTGCATTTGTTTTCCTTTGCATGCGAGTTTTGCAGAAAAAAAAAATGCTTTGCAACCTTAACATTGACAAGCCGAGCGAGCAGTTAAGGCTATGTGGATTTACCTCCTTTTTGTCTCTAAAGATGTCGATCTCCTTTTTGAGCAGTTCGACTCTTTGGAAAGATTCGAGGCTCGTCACAGCATACACAAGAACGAAGCCATCAGTGACAGAGAAATAGTGTTTTGGCAATTCTACGCCCTCCTGCAGACCCCTGGTGTCATAAAGCCTCAACTGTTCCTTCACGCCTCGATCTGTCTCCACCGACGCCAAATACACATCTTCCATTGTGGCACCTTCTTCTATGCCTGTTGTAAAACAAGCAGGAAAGTTCAACTGGTGTAAGCACAGCACCACTACAAGAACTATTTGCAGTATGGCATAATTTTACCCTACAATAGCTTTCAGTGCATGTTCTCCAGAGTGACTTGACCTGGACTCGACCTTCCCCGACTTGCCCACGAAGGGCTGTGTTCACAGATCGCTGCACCAGCTATTTACAATAGCAGCACTGCATAAACACAACCATCTAATCTTTGAGCACATGATTATGCCTGTGAAATTTATCTATACAACACGTACATTCAGGATAGGATAAGATACACAGCTCTTCCCAAACTCCAACCACCTAGTGTACCAGTTCGATGCCAAACGTGCTGCAAGGGCCTGCCCAAACATACCCTCTTGGAAGAACAGCCAAGAAACACCAGATAGTCAAGTACTAACATCTTGAGCCTACTCCTTTCCTTCATATTGACCTGGATCATACAGCAGAAGCAGGAGCCAAAGGAATCGTTCTGAAAATGGATGTGTATTGGTGGGAGAACTAACTAACAAGTGAAATCAAGCCAGAAAGGGAAGGGGATGTTTGCATGCAAGCAAAGTTGCATGCTATATTTACTCAAATACACAGTGAGCTTTTTCCATCCCTTAGGGATTTAAAATTACTTAGATTTGCTAATAGGAGCAAGCTCATTTACTAGACGATAAGAGCATGCACAAGGTGTAACAAGCTTTCATATATATATATCACCTGCTCCATGGTAATTCTCTGCACACTAGCTGTCCTTCCTTCCTCTCCCCATGGTAAACTTCAGGTAATTCAAGGCAGCTAACTTTGAACTAATTAAAACATTTTTTTCCAAGCCTAACCTGAAAACACATAGATCACCTTAGCTTTGTGTTCCCCTTGGCTGCAGGTGCTTAAGGTTACAGGTCCCAACAAACTATGTACAGTGTAGCTGGGCCACTTTTAGAGTTAGTTTTAAGTATTCACATAAACCCTTTACAATCCACATTTTTGCCTCTGCTGCACTCCTATACACGCTAATTGTTTGCCACCGCAGGGCTACAGTAACAAGTCCCACATTATTCTCTTTGTCTGCCAAAAAAGGACCATATCACAGCATTGTTAAAGAAAACACAAGGGATTATCTAGCCTGTGAAAATAAGGATTTTCCTTTAGTCAATGACACTGTTCAAAATACTTCACATTGGTGAACAAGCTAAAGCATCCCACCCACGCCGCTGGCTTCCCGCACAGGGAAGTGGCACAAGCTGTTCTGTGTGCCCCTCTCTGTGCGGTCTTCGTAGATCAAACTCTTATTAGGTTTGCAACGAATTCATTTCTCTCATCTCCAAATATAGCCATGCTAACGTGCAGGAGCAAAACTAAGAGCAGAAGGACAAAACAAAGGTTAATAAAAAGAGGAAGCATGAGCACACTCCAAGCGCTTGGAGCATGTGTCACAAGGGCCTTTTTAAAGACTGAAGTAGGTAAGAGAGCCCTTTCTGGATAGAGCACTTGATTTTTCTTGCTCTGCCTCATTGCACTTTACAGACAGGTCGAAGAACTACCTAGCATCAGTAAATACTACTTTGTCAAGATGGAATGAACCAGAAGTACCTAAGTTTTCTTTTTTAGAAAGCAATGAATAACGTTGTACAAGATTTTACCATCTAAATGCTGCACTGTAATGCAAGTCCTTAATATATCCACATTCTCCTGTGACAGTCTTTTCCTAATGGTGTTAAAAGTAGCAATGAAAATTACATCTTTCAACATCCTACTTGAAAACAAAGAGGAAAAAATAAGACCTGGTACTTCGGTCAGCAGAGTAGAATAACAAATTTTGATGGGAAGCAGAAGGGCACTTTGGAGGGAGCTGGAACTTGTACATCAGTACCAGATTCCAGAGGTGAAATTTCAGCTACGTACATTGTGGGAAGGAGTATATGGAAGCAGATTCCTAAGCAAACACAGATAATTTTATAGACATACCTGTGTTACCTTAGTCTAGGCCCTGCTTCAAAAGCCCAGGCCACGTGCTAGCCACATCTTGCTGGCGATGTTTACAGTTCTTGTTGGTACCATGCCATTCATACAGTCCCTGGTTTCCATGCACACACGTGCTGGGCAAGTTGTACGAGCAGCAAAACTGGTCAGGAAAGCCCGGTGTCCCCGGAAGGTGTCCGGCACCATCCCTGTCACAAGGACCCTGGTTCTCCTTTCCTTCACTGGCGTTCACAAGAGTCCTCCCACCTCCATACCTGGGTGGGCAAGGGCAGCTTGCGTGGGGGAGCTGCTGCCCTTCAGACTGCTGCCTGCTCAGGTAGGCTTTCCTTGGAGGACAGCGTTATTTTGGGTCTTTTCCCTCTTTCCTGCTACCATTTTTTCTAAATTTACAGAAACATACTTTGAGATACCTACTGCTGTGACACAGAATAACAGGCAGATGGAACCAGTTGTCAGGTTCAGACACTATGGGAGGAAAGGGGAACTAACAAGACAGTGAACAATCTCATGGTTTCTTTGGAAAATAAAGATGAAAAAAAGTTAGGGAGGGTAAGGAGGAATAGACAGGAGATTGATATCACTCTCTAACACCTACTTAGTGGGTGGGAGTCTTGGGAGAGGCAGAAAGGTCTTCATTTATGTGACCAACTGCTGCCACAGAGGAACTGCAAGGGGAAGCCTCAGTCATTAATTGAGGGGTGTTTCAACCCCAGTGGTCTCACAGTGAGGAGAAGAAAAGGCTCAATATATTAATGAACTCTGCACACCCAGGCTGTACAAGGCAGAGTTACTGCAAATATCAAATTAAAGCAAAATTTTGAGATGGATGGAATTTCAGAAATTCCCAAGAGACTCTTGAACATAAACACAGTGCAAATGTTGTGTCTTCTTGCGTACTTTTTAATATCTCCTATGTAAGCTCTCCCTCGCTCTTTTCAGCAGGAATTTAGCAAAGAACACCTATCCTTGTGTTTCTAAACTGCATGATAACAGGTTTTGCCTACTTAGGTCTCAAATGACAGCGTATCAGAGGATCCTTGCCTTGCAGAAGAGCTGGACAGGCCTCAACAGGAGCTGGTCTATTTAGGTTTAGCTGATAAGGTGCTGGTCCCACCAACTAGTAGCCAGAGTTGTGACCCTCCATTGCATACATTCAGCTCCATTTTTCATCTATTTCTAAAACGCAAAGCTGACCACAGCTCTACCAGGTAGTAGTTTTGATTTAAGAAAGATGTAAGAATGCATAATTTGGTTAACTAGCCAAACATTGCTGGAGCTGTGAAAGCCAAAAGCCCAAATCCCTCCAGCTGAGACCATGCGAAGCAAATTCCCTCGCTATGAGTTCTACCACAGTGATACCTGGTGTTTTCATTCCCAGCTAGTAAGAAGCTAGGAAGCAGCTGCTTAGGAATAACCTGACCATAGCAGTTATTTACACAGCCAGGAGGCAGAGATAAGGAAAATTGTGTTTTCTACAAGAAGAGCTCTCATCTCCTCCTGTTGAGCTGATAAGCTTTACCACAGGCTGAGGGGCCAGCGATAAAGGCAGGAGGAAGACTCCCTTCTGCACCATCACTAAACAAGAACGCTGTTCAAGGAAAAATACCTATGCTCTTCACAGATGTGTTCCGTGCCAAAGTTAAGACAGGAACTGTCCTGTTAGCCCTCTCAGGATTGCTCAGGCCAAGCCATGCTTGGTACCACAGGCATTTAGTGGGACAATCTTCTACTGCCAGTCAAGGACCCACTTCATGATTGAGGAGAAGACTGGCTCCTCTTTCTTCAGGAGTGTAAGAGAAGGTGGAGGACTTGGACAAAGACAACACTGAACCCACAAGAAGAGAGATCATTCCAGGTACCAGACAACTGTATTCATTGTGCAAGCCTTAACAACTACTTGGCCTGACCTATGGCAGTAGAGTCCCTGCATGACTCAAAGCTAAATCTACGCCCATTTCAAACACCTTTCAGGTTTTGTCTGGCTCCTTATATCAGTTTAGCCAGAGAGGCTGCCATGCAGTATGTGTGTTACTTTACACAGCTCTGACCATCTCTCATATTTTTGCCCTCTTCTCCTTTCTCACCCGAGGGCCCAAGGCAAACAGCCTTTCTTGCAGTTTTAAAGCCTGGGTACCACACATTGTCGTTCACATGCCCCAGGGACACAGATATTCCTTTTGGGGGCTTATTCCTCCCTACTGAGTACTTTTTCCTCTTTGACTTCAAGCAATCTTAGTGCCTTTGCAAGAGTGCTGGCTGCTGACCACGTGAGAAGTGGCAGCACTTAGGGACTTCATCCCTGACAAGCCAGGGAGAGCTGATGGTGCACATTTTTCTAGGAAAAGAAACACAGTGCAACTGGGTTTACAGCACCACCACCAAGCACACAGCCAGGAGCATGGGCTCAAAGCCAAGGGCTTTATTTAGCAGCGTGAAACCTCCAAGGACAGTCACCACTTCCCTGGGAGCAGCTGTGCCACCACTCCTTTTTACAGGAAAGTCAATGGGAGGCAGTGAGCACTGAGAAAGGCTCATGGCTGATTTACAGCCAGGAGGAGACTCCCATGTCAGAGGATGGCACCAGACCTTGTGCTCCGAGCCTACAACCAAGCCTGAGCATGCCTCTTGTCACTGGGAGGAGGGTGTGGGTGCCATCAGGGCTGGAGGGACTCCACGCGTTGGCTCGGCAGTCGTCCCCACAGCTCCTCAGGCTGGGTGCAGAGCTGCTCCTGACGTCAGTCAGGAAGCACAGGTTTTAAAACAGCTTGTGTCCATGTTGCCGTGCCCGGTGAGCTGCCTTGCTGGATGGCTCTGAACAGACAGGCTTTCAGCAGGCACACTAGTCCTTTCTGTGTCCTGCCAAAAAGGCCAGGAGCCGGGATGTACGTGTCAGCTTTCTGGAGCTTGCAAGCTTTAGGAAACCAGGATCGAGATTCAGTAATCACATTTTAAGCATGGAGGGGCCACCCCTGCAACAGCAGCAGCAGCCATGGTGGTTGCTACCACTGTTTAAAGCAGCTCATCTAAGGAGCAAAGACTCACCATTCCTCACGCTAACCCCACCCAGTGAAACCCCCACAGTGCTGTCCTGCCTCCACAGCTCAAGGGTTAAATCCACACAGATTGCAGCAGTAGCTAGAGATCTTCTGGGAACCATTTTCACCAGCCCATATTTCAGGCACCCTCTGCCACAAGTGCCCATGGGCTGAAGAAGAGGTGGGGAGGGTGGTGACCACTCAGCGGGACTGCCAGAAACACCAACCTGTCAGTTCAACCCCCAAAATGTGCCTGGTCGCACATATGGGTGATACTAAAAGCGCTGAGCCACGGCCGCTCATCCCCTGGGGCTGCAGTGGCTCCATAGGATCCCTCTCCATGCTCTTGACTCTGCCATTTGCCCTCTTTCTCCAAATGTCTTGTGAATAAGATTTGACCCAAATAATTGAAAACAGGAGGCTAACTTCTTCCTTCTCCCCTTGCACACCCCTCCACTATCTGCTGCTCCCTCCCTTTCTGTTAAGTCCAAAAACTGGGAGTAGAGCTGCAGGGAAGGCAAAGTGATGTTTTTAGGAGAGGGTGGGAAAAGCCTGCATTGCACAGCGGCGGAGCTGGAGCGGAGCTGGAGCGGGGCGTGCGGGAGCCACACAGGGACACCCACAGATAAATCTCAGGCACGAGGCCTCCCTCGGGTTATGTCAGCCAGTATCCGTGACGTTGTATAATCATGTACATGGCCGGCTCCATAAATAGCTCCCCCAATGAGCAACACCCGAGTATCCTTCCTGCCTGGGTCGCTAATAGGAGCTGGGGGCAGGAAGTAACACAAGGCAACACGACTCGGGGAACGTGGCCTCGCTCGTGCTGCTGGGTGTCCCCCACAATCATCCAGCATGGAGGAGAGACAGGTCAGCAGCAGAGGGAAAAACCTCCAGCCTGCAGGTTTTGCAGCCTTCACGCTGAAAGCTACGTGGGGCTACGTGCCCAGGGCTCGGTAGGATGCTACAAACAGATGTTGCTGCAGCATTAGAGGAAATCCTCCTTTTAAAGAAGGGTATTAGCAGGCAGTTCTGTATCACGCTTTGCCAGCAAATTCCTGCCATCCACACATTTTAAAGGCGCAGCATCTGCAAAGCACCGTTCTAGAAACCCTGGTGTTTATCCAATAACTTACCTCAACATTCAATTTACTGGCTGGAGGAAAAGATACAAATTGACTAGACATCTTCTGTCAAAGCCCTGAGACTGACCCCCGAGCCCCAGAGGCAGGAATAATTTGTCAGCCTGCCGATCGTTGCCCTTCCTCGCAAAGCCAGGTCATGTGGAAACAGGGAAACAAGCTGGGTTCGCCTCCGCTCCCTTTCTTCTGTGCACAGCAAGCCTCAGCCATCCCATGCTCCTCTCTCAAGTCCGTTTTCCATGGGAGGATTTCTCTGAGAGCCAAGAAGCTTGGCCCTTGAAGTTCACCACAGAACGTGGGATCTGAAGCTGAGCTGTTTTTTTCCAGTGCTTTGATTAGATGTTAGCCAAAACCAAGGAAAATAAAGCTTTAAGGAGTTGGAACAAAAGTCTAAACAGTCTTTCTGCTCACCACGTGACATCTATTTATTCTTCAGGCATCTGCAGCACCTTTCAGGGAATGAGATATTTCTTATGTAAAGAGGCAGCAAGCACATCACCTGCTTTCTGTGTTTGTTTTTTTTAAACATTCACGTATTTTATAACGGGGGACATCACAAAACGTGTTGTTCTCCAGCCTCTTTTAAAAATCAGTAAGTAAGTGACTATGAATTTCAGGAACCAGCCAGAGATGCAAGAAAACCACATTAATTTCCTCCTTCACCTCAGCACAGTTCAAAGTCCCCAGTTACTGGTTTCTTGGAGCCCCCATAGAACATGATGCTGGAAAAGGAAACAATCCTCCCCTCCCCCCAAAAGTAAAAATCTCTCACCAACAGTATGCTTTCCATAGAGAAGCTGCTCCAAAATCGCAGTCTTCCCCACCGAGGCCATTCCACAGACCACCACCTTGTAGCCCTTTCCCATCTTCCCCAAGGGCAGGTCAGGCGGCAAGCCCTATGCAGAGGCAGGAGCGTTAGCTGGGCATGGTGGCAGACCTGGGCACCAGACCCAGCCCAAGCCCACGACAGGCGAGAGGCACCACGCGGCGCAGCAGGCGGCTCGGAGGCACAGGTCCTTCCCAGGCGCTCACCAGTGACTGGTATTTTTAGGACTGGAGTTTCCTCCCACACCATTTTTTAGGGTTTGAGGCTGCTGCCATGGGTGCCACTGCTCGCCCGCAGCCTCGGCGCTTGGCCCGTTGGGCACGGGGAGACGGGTGGCGAGGGCTGGAGCCCGCGGACCCGCGGG